TCAGAATCTTCATCTTTGGTTGAAGAAACATCAATATTTGCACTATTTTCCTTTGCAGCAGCTTTTTCTTCAATACCAAGTTTTTGGAACACTTTCTTTCTAAGATCTCGTCTATCATTAAAACTCAAATAGTATATAAAACTACATATCTAAATAGCATTATAATCGCACAAAATAGTGTCAAATTATACAATTATTTGGAATCGAAGAATCACATATAAAACATTTCCAAATTCGCTATCCAACATTTTGCCAGAGCTAGGAAAGAAAAATGCGTTGCCCAAGGTCTAAGTGAAAGAATTAAAAAATATTGAAATTAAGGTGCTGCGTGAAGTTGGCACCCCTTTGTAAATTAATGATTACACTAGAGTCTCCGAAGAGAGGACAGAAAGAGTCTTGGACCTCTCTACGGAATTCGTCCTTGACGCCGAAAATTGTAAACACTCCAGGGCCGTATATCGTATCACAGAGATGTGTTTTTTTTAACAGAATACATTCTGTTACGTATGTAAAACACTACGCGAGAAAGGTACACTAAAAACAAACGCTCCTGAGTTCACGTTCCTCTTCCTGATCCCGCCCATCTCTTCTCCCCTCACTCCTTACCGCGCCGCGTCACTACTTAGTCCTCTCTTCAGAAGTCCTCTCTTGGGAGACTCCAGTGTAAAATGAATTGATATGTAAGTAAAATTAAAAACTAATTAAATATCGTTAGAGCAATGCTATTATTTTTTAAAAACTATACCTAACGGGTTTTATTATGTACTAGAAATAATAGACATTATATTGCGCGCCTGCGCTTTAACAAACATTTTGTTTTAATGAAAATGCTGTTATCTAAGTAAATATCAACTATGAAACATTGGAAAGTGAATATCAATCACTATCAAACGACCAACAAACGATTAATAGTGAAAGAATTGAAAAATATTGAATTTGTAGTGCTGCGTGAAGTTGGCACTCCTTTGTGATAATTATTTAATCTATTATATTTCTTTTAATTAAAATTAATAAATCTTTAATTTCCAATGTTTGAACACAATTAATAGTATAATTTGTTTGGAAATAGTAATAAAGCACGATATGTCATTAATCAGTTTTTAATTTACCGCCTTTCATTCTTCTGCGCTTGCGCACATTGATGGTTGCTAGATTTCCACATGTTTTTAGGAATGACGATATCTTTTAAAATAAGGTCTATCAAACGTTTAGAATGAGCTATCAGTAACTATCAAACGAGCAACAAACGATTGGTGAAGAGCAAATTAATATTCATTGAAATTGGGGTGCACCGTGAAATTAGCACCCTTTTTTTAATTCTCTATAATTTGTATAGTTTTTGCTATCAAACGTCTAATATCGACTATCAATCACTATCAAACGACCAACAAACGTTTTTTACAATAAAAAGTTGATTTTTGCAAAGTTTCGGTGCCAACTTCACGAGGGTATTTCTATAAAATCCAAATCAAATTTTTCATAATTTTAATTTCTATATTTTTTTAAAAGAAACCGAAAAAACATAACCTAAGTAAAAAAAAGGTAATTCAGATTTAAACGGCCTTCTGAAGAAAGAGACCCAAGACGCAAAAAATTATAGGTTATGTTTATGATATTTTGAAGTGAAAATAAACAAAAAGAGAATTAATTCTAAATACAAGTCCTCAATTTGTCTTCATTGCATCCAAAATATTCACTTAAGAGTATGTGGGAACCTCCCACGTGACCTAGTATGGGAAAATGTGTTTTGGTAGTATACATTTCATTCTAAAATGAAAAAAGATTTTTGTCTGAAATTTTGAGGGATAATAGATTTGGGTTCAAGGAATCTCGCTGTTCTCCGAAAAATACATAATTTTGTGTTAAATTATTAAAAAATGAAGTTTAAAAAGTGGCATTTTTAAACGAAAATGAAAACAAAGATGGCGGCGCATACACAGACGTTGCTTGAGTGTGTCAGTGCTCCAGTAAACAGTGCCAATTCGAGCGAGTGGCCGCTGAATGAACTATGATATAATACATTATTTTACTATTTATTGCTTTATTTTTATTATTTTTGCGTTATGTTATAGTAAATGTGAAGAACAGCGAGATTCCTTGCACCAAACGAAATCATTTTTCCAAAATTTTAACCCGAAATCATTTTTTATTTCAGAGAAAGTTTCAAACCACGAAAAAACGTCCTTTGCCCACATACCCTTAAAGCTTATTTTGTTTTTAAATAAAAAGGAATTTTAAATCAAGGTCAATCTATCATAAACATAACGTATAATTTTTTACGTTTTACGTTCCTTTTCTTCCAAAGAGTGTTAAATTATCATTCTTAATTTTTTTTATTCCATCTGCGATCGAATTCAAATATTAATTTTATTATTTTAATACATATTTATAAAATATTTTTATTTATTTACAGGGTGTCTAACGGTCAGGGAAAAAACAGGGAATTTAAATGGTCAGGGAAAAGTCAGGGAATTTCTTTAATTTTCTGGAATTTTTTATAAATAAATTAAAGTAACTATTAGATTCAAAAAAATTTTTACTTTTTTCCCAAAAGCAAATGCAAATTAAAAAGTTGGAATTCACACTCAATTATTAAGCATGTGATATATTTTATATTCATTAAGTAAATAATTATTTACTACTATTTATTGAATCAAATAAATGGTTTTTTAAACTTGGATAACAATTAATTAATTTTTTTCAGGGAAATATTTGGTTTTTTAATATAAATAAAAATTATTTGATACAATTTTATTTTATCGGTTCAACTTCAAATAAAGTAAATTATTTATTAATACGAATAATTTATTATTTAATGCTAATACATTTAACTTATAAAAATTTTTACGGCGTCGAATATTAAATTATCGAATTTCTATTTAGCAAAATTGTATAAAGTGGATTTTGTATTATGCAAAATTTTCAATTTACATTTAACTAAAATTCGATTTAAAAGAATTTCTATTTAGCAGAACTCTTATAAAGCATTTTTTCTAATGCTTTTTAAAAATTTTAAATTAAGAGTAAGTCCACGTCAGAAATATCAGAATCTGCAAGTGGTTTTTCGATTTTAATGATACTTGGTAAAATTATAGCTTTATATAAGAGCAATGTGTAAGTAAAAGGAATTTTTAAAATATCTAAAATTGTAGGAGTTATATCACTTTTAATTTTGCTACTGCATTTTTTTCTTTCCTTTATATCTCGGTCAATTTTCAACCGATTTTGATGAATCAAAAACGATTTTTTTCAGAAAATTACGTATTTTCAGAAAATTTTAAAATAAAAATAAAATTTTCTTATTTAAATAGAAAAAAGTAAAAAACAAAATTTCTTTTAGATTTTTTTCAATTTCGACCTCTTTTTTTTAATTTTTAATTTTTTAATAATATTCCTTTTTATTTTATCTTTAATTTAAAAAAAAATTCATCCTGGAGACTTTTTTAGATCTCGTGATATCGTCCTTTAAGTATTATAAGTCTTCATGAATTTGAAAACCGCAGGACTTGCTTCTATCATTACTTTCATTTGTTTGTTGAAATTTTTTATGGTTATGAATAACTATTTGTTTTAGAATCCTCTAAAAGAAAGCGCTAAAAACTTCAGCTACAATTTCAGGTTGCATTGTTAAGGTTTCATTACAATTTATTTTAAATTATAAATATTACAAAAAATAAAAACTTTGGATATTTAAAGAACGATATCACGAGATCTAAAAAAGTCCCCAGGATGAATTTCTTTTTAAATTAAAGATAAAATAAAAAGGAATATTATTAAAAAATTAAAAATTAAAAAAAAGAGGTCGAAATTGAAAAAAAATCTAAAAGAAATTTTGTGTTTTACTTTTTTCTATTTAAATAACAAAATTTTATTTTTGTTTTAAAATGTTCTGAAAATACGTAATTTTCTGAAAAAAATCGTTTTTGATTCATCAAAATCGGTTAAAAATTGACCGAGATATAAAGGAAAGAAAAAAATGCAGGATCAAAATTAAAAGTGATATAACTCCTACAATTTTAGATATTTTAAAAATTCCTTTTACTCACACATTGCTCTTATATAAAGCTATAATTTTACCAAGTATCATTCAAATCGAAGAACCACTTGCAGATTCTGATATTTCTGACGTGGACTTACCCAAAATATAATTTCAATTTAACGAAATTTATGTCTATAAAAATTGAGAAAAAAAGAACTAAGTAGAATTTCTCTTAAATGTGAATTCTGTTAAATAAGAATTAGTTCGAATTAAAATTTTCGTTAATAAAAACTTTGTTAATTAAGAATTTTGTTAAATAGAAATTCTGTTAATTGTGTATTTATTTAATGACAATTCTGTTAAGTAAATATTTTGATAAATCAAAATTTACTAAAATAACAATTCTGTTAAAAAAATTATTCTTTATGCAATTTTTCTTCAGATAAATTCCGTTAAATTGAAATTTTATTAATTTGAAATTCGATGTAATAGAAAATCTGCTTTATATAATTTTACTAAATAAAAATTTGATAATTTAACGAAGCTGAAGTACGCAACGTTTACGATAAAAAATTATAGAAATTTTTCATTTTAAAAATTTATTTCTTTAAAAATCATTTATCATAAACGTTGCGTACTTCAGCTTAGTTAATTTAAGATTTGACGCCGTAAAAATTCTTTTAAATTAAATGTTGAGAATATTTATACGTCCCCAATTAGTTTATTTTTTTCACTTAAATATTTTATTTTTTACGAAACATTATTTATTTGGTTCAAATATACATATATGAAATTAATGGATAACAGACAGGTAAATGATTTAATTGTATGAAAATAAATTTTATTTGATCAAAATAAAAATTTTTTAGTGTAATTTAGGTCAGGGAAAAGTCAGGGAATTTTTTTTCCTAGCAGTTGTTAGACACCCTGAATTTAAGAAATATATCATTGACGGTGGTGTAGTCCTGGTGTGTAGCATGGCCAGAGAATGTTTTCTCTTTTTTTTCTTTTTATTTTGTAGTGAGTGTGTGCGAGCTGAAAAAGATGGAGATTGCCAACCAAGCTCAAGGATCAGACCACGATGATTGTGATGACGTTTCTGATGAACGTCCTGGAAATTATTTGAGGAAAAGACGCAATTTACAATTAAATCACAATAAATTAAAACAAACAAAAAATACAAATCACGCTCACACACAATCACTAACATTAAACACTGGACAATATAATAATACACAAATACCAAAGCCATCACAGAGGCCTCGATCTCCGAAAAATTCTCATAATCGCATGTCCGAAGGTATTTTCATTCTTATTTTTATTTTATTATTTATCACTTCTTATATTTTTCTCTTTTTCGTTTTTTTCCCCACAATGCACTGCATTTTCTATGCATGAACGCTTTTCTTAATTTTTTTTTTGTTAGCGGCAAATCATTATTTGTGCAATTGACAATTTTAGTGAAATAGTTGCGAAAATAATAATTATAGTTTTTAAATGATAAACTAAAATAATTTCTTGATTATTGACTAATAATCAAAAATTAAAATATTTACTGATTTTCGAATGCTTCCTTAGAATTTAGTAAAATTGGGTAAAAGTAGAATTAGGTAAAATTCCCCATACTAGAATTTTATTTAACCGAATTTTCAATTGATAGAACTTTGCATGTAACATAGTTTTTTTTTTTAATTTAATAATATTAATTTGAATTTAAAAGAATTCGGAATTATTCAAGCAAATATTAATCAAATAAATTTTTTTCAGTGTATAAGTTTTTTTGAGAAAAAAAAATAGAAAACTTTTTTTTTGTAAAAAGGAATTTACAAACGAAAATAATTGAAAAGAGAAATTAAAAAGTTTGGATAAATAATTTTTCTTTTAGCGTCGGGGAGAAAATTGACGATTCCTGGAAAACGAATTTCTGGTGCTGTGATGAGTAAAAGTCAAACTTTACCGCGAAGTATGGGAAGATCAACGCCGTCATTGCCTTGTCATAGAAACATTCCATTAAAACCATCGTCAACGCCTCCTGCGGTTAAAAGACAATTATCAGTTCCTGGCAATGGTTCGCCAATTAGAAGACCAGGAACACCCGGTGCCAGCAGTAGCAATCGAGGAACTCCAACGAGAAAAATTCCAAATTTAAAAGGAGTTGATCCCAAACTTGCCAATGTTATTCTCGATGAAATTTTAGAAGGCGGAACTGCTGTTCAATGGGATGATATTGCTGGACAAGAGGTAAATGAGGGAGAAAAATTAAAAACAATTCAAGGTTGCCACGAAAGACTGATTTCAAAAATTCCATGACTTTTCCAGATTTTCAAGACCATTTAAAAAAAAAAAAAATTCCAGACCCAAATACAAATCTATTTTGATGAATTTTTAGCCAAAAAATACAAAATATTTCAATTAAATTAACAATAAAAATATTCTGTAAATTAATTTCTTGCAAGAAACCACAAAATTTAATTCAAATTAAAAATAATGATTTTTTTTCCATGTTTTGATGATCGTGTTAAAATCGTCTAAAACATTCAGTCTCTTTTAAAAAATTTATTCACAGGTTAATGCTTCATAAATTGAGTCAAATAATTAAAAAAAAGTTTTAAAATAATAAAAAATTTTCAATAATAATTCAAAACTAAATTTGTTTTATGTACTAATTTATCATGTAAAAACTAAATAACAAACCAAGTATTTGTGAGAAATAAAATAGAATTCTTTATTAATAATAATTCATGAAAATATTTTTAAAAAATCAACTTTCTAAATAAAATAAATAAATAAATAAATGTTATTTAGAATATTTCATAATTTAACTAAGACAAATTTTCAAGATCTTTAGATTGAAAAAAAAATCAAGTTTCTTTTTTCTGAACCATTTTTAAGTTTTATTTATTTGTTTATTTTAACTCATAAAAATTTTAAACAGGAATCTAAGGCAAAAATAAGTTTTTAAAAATTGTTCAAAACCAATTTTTCATATCTTGCTTTATCATATAAAAATTATATAATAATAAAATGCTTGGTCTGTCCTGTTCTAACTTGAAGTTGGCCTTTTCTGATTTCACGTGTTTTTTTGAATAGTAATCTTATAACGCGTCAAATTTTGACAATTCTTTTTCTCATTTTTGCCAAAGTTGTATAATTGTGTTTCCAAATTTCGGAATAAGTTTCTTTAAAATTCCAAATTCGAAAATTCAATTCACGAAGCTGAAGTACACAACTTTTACCAATGAAATTTTTTTTAAAGTTGTATATTGATTCAAAAATTGTAAACAAATACAAAAAATTTATGATGAGAAAAAAGATGCGCCAGGAAATTTCGTACAAGATAGTAAATTGAAAAAAATTTATTTTTTAAAATTTATTTTTAAGGTACCAGGGGCCAACGAATACCTATTAAATATTAATTATAAAAACATAGGCCTCGAATCAACTTAAAGACACAAAAAGTCGTTTTAGTCGATTTATATTCCAAAAAAGTGGATTTGTTTTTTTTTTTATTTTAACAAAAATATTTTACAGATTTTTAAATAAATTTTTTTTTTAATAATAATCCTTTTCGAAGGGTTAAAGTTGAAATTTTTAGAAATAATTAAATTTCAAAAGATATTGTTAATTTTCAAACAATTATTAAATTTTACATAACTAAAAATAATTTATCAAACAATTTTTGGAAAACATTTTTTAAATTTAATTGAATTTTCAAAGATTTAAAATTGAGATTTTTGAAATTAATTGAAACTTTAAATGTTTTGTAATTAAAATTTTAGATGATTTCACTAAAAATTTATTAGAAAATGCGGACAAAATACAATAATTTGAAAATCATTTTTAATTGAAAAATGGTTTCAGATAGTTGAAATTTCAAAGAATATTATTAAAATAGTTAAAAATAATTAAATTTTAAATGCTTTTAAATTCAAATTATTGAAAATTCAATTAATTTTGAATTCAAATTTTTAAGGATAATGAAATTTTATTTGATTTTAAATTTGGAAAATAATTGAATTTCAGTTCATTTTGAATTGAAAATTTTAGGAAATAATTGAATTTTGATTGTAATTTTGGATAATAATTTAATTTAAGTTCATTTTTGATTGAAAATTTGGATAATTAATTTTGAATAGAAATTTTAGAAAATAATTGAATTTTATTTCATTTTAAATTGAAAACTTGGTAAATAATTAAATTTTAAATTGAAAATTTTGGATAATTATTGGATTTTTAATTGATTTTGAATTAAAATTTCGGGTAATAATTGAATTTTAGTTTATTTTGAATTGAAATTTTTAAAAAACAATGCAATTTTATTGTGATATTTTTTTTTAAATTATAAACAATTGTTAAATTTCATAAAAATTTTAATTGAAAAATAATTTTGATATAATTGAATTTGTGATGTATTTTATTAAAATTATTAAAAATAATTAATTTAGTGAAGAATCATTTTAGTTGAAAATTTGTTAAATAATTGAATTGAAGAAGATCTGAAGAAGATCTACATTTTATACTAAAAAACGTATTTATTTACATTTTTTTTCAAATGTAAAAAAAATGTCGCATTTTATTAAAATAAGTCGATAAAAATCGTATTTTTGAAAAAAGTCGGTAAAAGTCGTATAATCCGAGGCCTGTAAACATATAATTTTCATTATTATCATTTAATATGTAATAATGTTCTAATAAATTAAATTATTATTGATAATATTAATCTATAATTTCTTTATAACAAACAATTAAATACTCAATTTGGCGCGCGTTTAATTTTGCTAGTTCAATAAATAAATCGATTAGTTATTTTTTACACTATATAAAAACTGAAATAAATCTCATTTTATCCCAAAAAAAGTCGAAAAAAGTAGCATTCATTGAAAAAGTCGAAAAACTTGAGATTTTCTCGATTCAAATACAGGAAATTAAATTTTCAGAACGATATTTCATAAAATTCCTTGACATTTCCAGATTTTCTATGACTAAAATAAATTTCCATGACAATTCCATGTTTTCCAGGTCTGTGGCAACCCTGCATTAGTTTGAAATTATTTAATTATTCAATAAAAATTGGCTATAAATGCAGTGAAAATTGATATTCTTTAATTTTTCAGACAGCTAAGCAAGCGCTTCAGGAGATGGTGATTTTACCTTCACTGCGACCTGAATTATTCACAGGTCTGCGAACCCCATCACGAGGATTATTGCTGTTTGGTCCGCCAGGTAATGGAAAAACACTTTTGGCACGAGCAGTTGCGACTCAATGCAATGCAACATTCTTTTCAATATCGGCGGCAAGTCTCACTTCAAAATACGTTGGAGAAGGTGAAAAATTGGTGCGAGCTTTGTTTGCAATAGCACGAGAACTACAGCCTTCTGTGATTTTTATTGACGAGGTTGATTCTCTCTTGAGCGAACGCAGAGATAATGAACATGAAGCTTCCAGGTATGTTTTTTTTAAAATTGCTTTCATTTTTTTTTGTAAATATATTTACTGCTTTTGATTACCGTGGATGTCCCAGTTACCGTCCACCTAAGACCTAGTTTCCGTCCAGTTTAATTTTCAAAATAACATTTATAAAAAAATTATTTTCTTTTATTTGTTTACTTAAACTAATAAGTCGATTGTGTGCCAAAAGGAATAAATTATTGTTAAAAAATAATTTAAATTACTATACGAGATATTTGTAAAATGGACGGAAACTGGGACATGGACAGTAACTGGTACATCCACGGTATATTTATCTTATATTTTTTTTAAACTAATTTTTCTAAGAGACAAAAGTGATTTTATTAGATAAAACTTTGTAAAGAATATAAATTTCTTATTGTTAAAATAAATCGGTATTTTGAATGAGCCTTGAGATTTCTAATTCAATTTAATTTTACAAAAATTTCTCGACTATTATTACAGACGATTAAAAACAGAATTTCTTGTCGAGTTTGACGGTCTTCCTTGCAATCCTGAGGAGAGAGTCCTTGTAATGGCTGCAACAAATAGACCTCAGGAATTAGATGAGGCCGCTTTAAGAAGATTCACAAAACGTGTTTATGTAATGCTGCCAGACATAAAGACTAGGGTTCTCCTATTGCAGAGACTTTTGGGAAAGCACAATGATCCTTTAACTCATGCAGAACTGAATCGCATGGCAAATTTGACTGAAGGATATTCCGGAAGTGATTTAACGGGACTAGCTAAAGATGCGGCACTTGGACCCATAAGAGGTATGTTGTGATAAAATTCACCTACAATTATCAAATTATCAAAAAATAAAAAAACACGATCCAACGCTTGCATAAAAAAAATCTTGTATAGAATAATTTTTCATAAGTATCGATTGTACCAAAAAATATTCTTCAGATCATTCACGACTGAGTTTTGTCGATAGAAAAAATAAAATTCTCGCAAATTCCGTTTCATCTTTCTTTGGATAACTAGTCTTCATTAAAATTCTCACACTTCTTTTTTGTTGCTCATCATTTAATTTATACCAAAAATATTTAACAGCCATCTCAAGGCATTCAATCATTGAAATACGAAACATTGTTTCCTCAATGTTTTGACTATTATTGCAAAATTGATACCATGAAAATTTTCTTTTCAAATTTTCATTTTGACAGCCAATTATAAAATGTTTTTTATCATCCATTTGCAATAAATTTTTCCAATACGCTATCACATTATAACTTGAAGACGTATAAATTGTCTCCAAATAGAAATTATCAAATCTCTCGTCCTCGGGAATTTTCTCCCATAAATTTGGAATATAATCATCAAAACAAAGAATGCATGCAATATTAAAGAGTTTTTTATATTTCAATTGTTTTTTATTGTACCAATTGTGAAAAATTCTCTTTTTGTCAATAGTGCCGTAATTAGTCCAAAAAATTTCTGAGCTCGCGTCAATGTTTAATTCCAAAATTTTGGCAACAAATTTTCTCCAATGACAAATTTGCAATCCAGTGATTATAATGGAATTTTTTAAATTTGCTCTTACATTCAATGACAATGGTAAATTATGGAGAAATGCCACTAAATTACTTGTCAATTGTTGATTCCATTTTTGATATAAAAAACAATCGTCATCAGAAGGATAAAAGTTATTGAAAAATAAGTCAATTTGCTGTTTAGTTTCATTTTTATTCCAAATAATCGTCGCTATTTTGAGCATATAGAGACGCTGTAAATTTAATTCCGGTTTCATTTTTCCCTTATTAATTTTTTCCATTTTCAAGAATCTGTAAAAATTTTTGTCAATTTCATATAAAACTGAATTAACTGTTTAAAACCTCAAGCCTCGGAAATTATACAACTTTTTCGACTTTTTTTTTAAATTTTTTTACAAAATTTTTAAACAAAAAACGTACTTTTTAGTATACAATGCAGATCTTTTTTTATTATTATTTAACAAATTTTTAACTAAAATTCTTCTCTAAATTAATTATTTTTAATAATTGTAATGAAATTCTTTACAAATTTAACTATTTTTCAATTAAAAATTTTATGAAATTCAATAATTGTTTAAATTTTTTAAAAATCAATAAATAAAATCACTGAAAATTTCAATAAAAAATCACTTTAAATTCAATTATTTTTAAAAAATTAAATTTTAAAACCTTCTAAAATTTAATTTTTGAAGTTCAATTTTTGTCTGCAATTTCTAATAAATTCTTCAGTAACAGAAATAACCAAAAATTTCAATTAAAAATCACTTGAAGTTTAATTATTTCGAAAAATTGGAATTGTAAATCTATGAAAATTCAATTACTTTTTAAAAATGTTATCTAAAATTATTTAGTAAATTTTATTTTCAATTCTGTTAAATTTAAATTATTATCTGAAATTTAACAAAATCTTTTGAATCTCAATTATTTCTAAAAATTTCAACTGTAACTCTTCCAGAATTCAATTATGTTAAATGATTTTTATAATATTCTTCTAAAATTCAATTATTTAAAATCATTTTTCAATTTAAAAACTTTTAAAGTTCAATTTTTGTCTACAATTTCTAATAATAAATTATTTACATACCAAACAGAAATCACCAAAAAATTTCAATAAAAAATCACTTGAAGTTCAGTTATTTTCAAAAATCTGTATTATATGTAATTCTTCGAAATAAATTTAATTATTTTTAAGGTTATATAAAATTATTTGATAAATTATTTTCATATTTGTTAAATTAAATTTTTTTTTTTTGAAATTTAATAAAATCTTTTGAGATTCGATTATTTCTAAAAACTTCAACTGTAACTTTCCTAAAATTCAATTATTGATAATAATTTTAATATTTCTTTAAAAATTCAATTATTTACAAAAATTTCAAATAAAAACTCTAAAATTGAATTGTTGTCATAAATTAAAAAAAAAAAATACGGCAGTTTAAATTTAAGTATTAAAAAAGAAAATTTAATTCAAAAATCTGTAAAATTTAATTATTGTACGAAATTTTATTGGTTATTGTAACTAAAAACTAAAGCAAAATTTTTAATTCAAATAAATTGCTTAAATCTGACTTAAAAAAAAATTTTTAATGGAACTTTAAGAATTTTTTTTTACAAATTTGTTTAAAATTTTGAAAATTTGTTTTAGTTTGATTCTGAAATATTTGAAATAAGTTTTCATGAAAATATTCTTATTAAGGAATTAATGAAATAAATTTAATATCTAATAGTATTATTTATTTGAAGTAAAATATTAATTAATTTATTAAATTAATTAATATATAAAAAAAATCGAACTAAAACTACTTTTTTTGCGCCATAAAGTTAATCCGAGGTTATAAGGTTACTGTAATCTTAAATATAATTAAAACATAAATTTTTGGTATTTGTTGCAGAACTAAATCCAGAACAAGTAAAAGAGGTGGATTTAAATCACGTGCGAAACATTACAATTCAAGATTTTTTAGATAGTTTGAAAAGAATCCGCAGGTCGGTTTCACCCGACAGTTTAGCCGCTTTTGAAAAATGGAGCCTCGAATATGGTGACGTTAGTCTCTGATCGGAGCACCTTACGAGTTCTTGCTCAAAACTTGAATCTCGCCTTTATTCAGTTAGCACAAGCCAAACTGACAGTCACTGAGCGCCTTTTTCTATTACATTTAAAGAAAACAAAAAAAAACCCGTGTCTCGATTTTGGTAAAAATAAAAAAAAAGAAATTTTTTTTTTTATTGACTTGAGATACAGCACATCAAAGAGACGTTTAGCGGCTTTTATATTTTGGACAATATTGTACCAATTTCATCTTTTTGCGCTCGTCAATCAATTTTTGCACTATTGAGAAAATATAAAGGCAAATTACATTAATTTTGCCAATTTCTTGTGAAAGCAAGAAGACTGCGTTTATTGTTCTAAGAACTTGTTTTTTTTTTTTTTTTTACTTCAAGTCGGACGTACAAATTATTTCTGGGGTTTCGATCTGTTTATTTGCTCTTTGGAGTTTTTTAAAAGTCATTCAATCGGCTACGTTCCTTGTATGTACTGAATAATACAATGTTCATTATTATTCGATTTTCACTAGACTCAATTTAGTAGAAATTTGAGAGACGTAAGATACTTAATATTTATTATTATTATTATTGTAGTAGATAAATGTTTGTTTCGTTTTATTTAAATCATGTCGTGTGCAGGAAAATGATATTTTAAATTGACTATGAAAAATTTGATTTTGCGTTTTCACCTTTTTAAAAATTTTAATTATATTATGAAATTTTACAAAAAAATAATTTATCAAGTTTACATAAGTTAATTGAAATTTCATATTTTTTTCATTGTTATTTTTCTTCACCAACAAAATAAAAACAAGAATATTCTAAACAATTAAATGAAAATTTGAAAAAAAAATTTTTTTTTTGTTAAAATTCATAATCTAATTTGAAATCTTTATTGCTGTCAATTTAAAATTTCACTATTTAAATACAAAAATATCAATAACTTTCTTTTTTTTCTATATCTTTTTTCTTACGCTTCTTAAATCTCGCTCAAAACTTAACAATAAAAAAAATTTTTTTAATTAAAATCAATACTTTTTCGCATAAATATTAAAAATCGATAATTTTACAATAAAAATAAAGAATCGATAGTTTTTCAGTAAAAATAATAAAAAAAAATACAGCGTACCTAAAAAAAAAAAGAGAGAAACTTCATTTTTCAAATTTAACTGATAAGTAATTAAAATTTAAGAAAATTTGATAATAAATTTAGAAGTGCTAGAAGTCGGTTTTTTGTTTGTTTAAGCGAGAGATATTCTGATTGATAGGAAAAAGAAAACACAAAAGATTTTTTATGATGGCATCGAATGGATTAAATTATTTTGGTTTCGATGTGAGAAAATTTACTCTTGACAACGAATGAATAAAATAAAAAAAAAAAAAAAACGGAAATGGTATCTTCCATGAAAAGGGCTTTATCTAAAAATATCAAGTGGTTATTTGCAAATTATGAAAAATGATTGTAAAATATTTTTATTCTATATAATATTTATATTCATTATTATTGTTGTCGCTGATAATAATATTATTATTCAAAGATATTTTAACGAAGTTTGCCCGTTACATTCCACTCGTTATTTCACTAATAATTGAGTTTTGTGCCTAATATTTTATTCTTTGTCGATTCTCTTTTTTTCAAATAAATAAAACGAAGGAAAAAAAGAATCAGATTGTGGTTCAGAATAAAAAAAAAAAAATTGTTTAGATGAGAAAAAAGAAGCATTTTTTTAGGGAAAAAAATAGTAATAAAAATAATAATCAATGTTCAAAATATATTTTTTACTAACAAAATACTATTTCTTAAAGAAAAACATAAACATTGATTTATGTAATAAAGAAACTTTTGAATTATTTCCATCTTATTAAATTATAACATTAAATGTGAAATTTTTGTCAAAAACAAAAAAAAAATGTTAGGTCACGTAAAATGAAAATTAAATTTGAAACAGAAAGTCTGTTACACAAAATTAATTTATGATATCTATTTACTATAAACAATATTATTAATGTACAGTACTATTAAAAAAAAAATAGATTTTAAGTCGATAAGAATGTGATAAATGTTGATAATTTGTGAATGTAAACATAATTTGAAATTAATTATTTCCATGATTGTTGTGTGTGAAAAAGTAAATTGTTTCATCGAAATATTTCGAAGTGAGAAATTTGAATAATGTTTTATCGATCAAGATATTTACATAGTGATATTAATTTTACAATAATTACAAAAATTGTTTACTAAATTTTCTTCGTCGAAAGAAAGTGAAAATTAATTTTTCTGTACAAAGTTTTAAAAATCATTTTCTTTTGATAGATTGAAAATTGTAATTAAAATCATTTTTAGTCAATTTTCGAAATTTTCATTTCTCTAAATAATATGTTTTCTACGTAGTAAAATAGAAATTCTTTTGAAAAAACATTTTTTTTTTTTGAACAATTTCCGTTGATTTTAAAATAATTTAATTATAATTTTAAACAAAACTTTCGAAATTCATTTAAAAAAAAAAAAAAAAAAAAAAAAAAAAAAACTTGAGAATTATATTCCAATACTAGCCATATAGAAATTAAGAAAATGCACTTCCTATATTTGGGAATTTTAATCTTATTGTCTCGAGCTTAATTACATAAGGAAAAAAAAATTAATGAAAGCTTATCATTGATATTTTGCAATTTATATAAATTATTAAATAAAATTCAAATTCCGGTAAATTGAAACTTGAACGCTGAGATAATTTTTAATCTCACAGCCTTCCATAAAATATTCAGCTCTGCCTTGATCCAGTTATTTTGCTACTTTTATAAAATTTAGCAATAAGTTAAAAAGATTGAAACATACATAATATGAAACGCCAATTTTTCTCGAAAAATTCGGATTTATAAAAAATTAACAGTTTTTTTTTTATTTGTTTAATTAATGAAATTTATTACAGAAATTTTGTTTTTTTTCTAATTTTTTAATTTAATTTAAACGAACTTACCGAATATTATTAATTACCTTTTCAAATTTAATTTTTACAATCGATATTGTTTTAATATTAAATGTTTTTAATAATAATTTTTAATAATTCAATTTTGTTTTTCGTAATTATTATTGACAATAAATTTTCATTTTTTTTTCTTATTTTCATTAACTGTAAGTTTTCAATTGTAAAAAAAGAATATTTATAAAGTTATATTTGGTAAAATAAAAAAAAAGACTGACAGTAGAATTGAACATTAAAATTCGGTTAAATATTTTGTAAAGAAAAAAAAATATAATCTTGCTTTAATAAAAATTTGAAAAAAAAGTAAGATTATAGGTATAAGTTAAAAGGGAAAAATTTTGGTCAAATAAAAATTACACTATATTAATTGGGTTACTTAAAGTAAATTAATCAATAGAAATATTTAGAAATTATAAAAATTCCTACAATTCTACATTTGTCAGTCCAATCTTTAAAATTTAACAGATTTTTTTGCTTTTCAAAACTAGAATATAGTAGAAAATGAAAGTTACATAAAATGTTTGTTAAAAAAAAAATATATAAAAATTAGGCCTCGTTTCAAAATATAGTTATTAGTATGAAATTTGTGAGTGCTGAATTAGAATTAAGAGAAATTTGATTATAGCATAAAAAATGAATGGCTTTTGTAAACAGTCTTTGTGTCTTTGTAAGCTTCGAGAGGAAATTAAAAAAAAAAAAATTTTTTTGCGTGCGAACAATCGCAAAATTCTCTTAAAGCTTCAACAAAACTCCGTTATATTGTTAATGTTTATTTAATAATTTATTTATTGATTCAATTTTAGAATTGATTCAATTTATATTGTAAAAATTGTGAAAAACATTTTTAATTTTTTAATAGTCAACAATTTATTAATGCAGTATTGAACAATTTAATTATAAAAAAAAAAATGATACACTCATATATTTCTAGTCCCTTATTATAAAAATAGATTTATTACCTTATATTTAATGATTGTAATACTAGCTACGCTTCTTATAGTGAAATAATTATTCTAAGTTATATATTAATGAAATAAAAGAATTGTCAAATATTGGGGAATAAACGAATTCATTCCACAAGATTTTTTGTGTTTCATTTAAATAAATAAACTTAATTCAAAATCATAAAATTGGGTATTATTTAAAATTTTTTAAAAACTTAATAATTTCATAATTTTTAATAAATTCTTCGATAATAATTGAATTATTTTTGAAATTTTTAGTTTAAATTCTTTTAAAAATAAAAAACAAATCAAAACTTTTTTTAATGCAACTCTTTCAGTATACGGAAAAAAAAATAATTACTTGGATGAAATAAAAATTACATGATACAAGTAAATAATTTACTTGTCTATTATCCAGTAAATATGTATTTGAACCAAATAAATATTTACTAGATCTAAGTATTTTATTTTATCGTATCGAATAAATAATAATTTTCATCAAATACAAATTACTTAAATCAAATAAATGGAATAATTCAAGCTAATAAATATTGCTTTAAATCAATTATGAAAATTATTTCATTCAATACACCATGTTTTTTAATTCAAATGAATATTTATTTACATGAAAAAAATATTTTTTTTTTTTGGAAATAACTAAAAATTTTCATTTAACCAAATATTCAATTATTCAACTTGAGTAATTGTTTTAATTAAAACTAAAACCTTTTTAATTGCGGCATGAACAATAAGTTCTTTCTAATAATTTACAATAATTTTTCAATAGTTTAAGAGAAAGGAGAAATTAAATTTCTGTTGTTTATATGATTGTCAATTTATTTTTTTAACAATATTGAGAATTATAAATTATGATATACTATGACAAATTAAAAAACAATTAATTGTCAAAAATAATTTTTAAAAAATTTTAATAATATAAAATAATTTTAAATTCTAAGACATTGAGAAAAAAAATGACAAAACAACATACATTTCAAAGAGTTGTCAAAAAAATGTGCAATTTCGGCAAAAGAATTTTTTTTGTGGTTTAGAAATTTGATAGTTCACGCCAAAAATAAAAAATTTGTTTGAAATTTAGAAACTAAACCACTGTGGAAATGTAACAAATAAAATTTTTATAAAATTGATAGTAGATTCAAAAATTTTTATCTTTCTTTCAATTACACTCGACATATTTGACTCGGGTTTTTCATTAATTGCAGCCTTTCTATTGATCCAAGCTTTGTAAATCTAAAATTCATAATAATTAGTTATTTTTATTTTAGATAAAATAAAATTTAAAAAATAAATATTTGCATATATGTATATTATATGTGACTTGGGATTTTTAAATTTTTTATTTTTTATTCAATTATTTTTAATAGTTTTTATAATATTCTTCAAAAATTTAATTATCTGAAAGTATTTTTCAATTAAAAAATTTTTAAGTTTAATTTCTGTCTGAAATTTCTAATAATTTCTTCAGGAACAGAAATCACCTAAAATTTCAATTAAAAATTACTTTAATTTCAATTATTTTTAAACATCTGAATTGTAAAATCTATAAAAAATTAATTACTTTTAAAAAATATTGTCTAAAATTATTTGATAAATTATTTTCAATTCTGTAAAATTTTAATTATTTTTTGAAATTTAACAAATTCTTTTGAAATTCAATTAGGATTTCTAAAACTTTTAATTGTAACTTTTCCAAAATTAAATTATTTTTAATAATTTTAATATTTTTTTAAAAAATTCAAATATTTTTAATATATATTTTTTTAAATTGAATTATTTTTAATAATTTTAATATTTACAAAAAAATTTAATTGTTTAAAAAAGTTTTAAGTTAAAACTTTTACATTGAATTGGAGCACATAATTATATCCGATAAAAATAATAATTTAATCGAATTTTAATTGACAGGATTCTCATTTAAACAAATTTTATGTGATTCAAATTTTTAAATGACAGAAATTCCAATTCACCGAATTTTAATTTGTACGAATTTGTGAATTTTTATATTGATAGAACTTTTAAGACACCGAATTTTCATTTATGCGAAACTACAAATGATCGAAGAAACAATCGACAGTAAGATTTCGGCGCAATTTTTAAAATTGACCAATTACGATTTTCTTGGTAATTTCTAATATTGGACAATTTTAAAAATTGCGCCGAAATTTTTTTTTGTGGATTGTTTGTTCGACCATTCGTAATTTGGGACAAATTAAAATTCGGTAAATTGGAATATTTGTGATTTAAAAATTCGAATCACGTAAAATTCGTTTGAATGTGAATCATGTCAATTAAAATTTAATTAAATTAAAATTCTTTTAAATAAAAATATATGTAAATTAAATGATTTGAAAATAAAAATTTAGCCAAACAAAAATTCGATATCTCAAAATTTTGTTAAATAAAAATTTGTATAAAAAGAAAGTCCGTCAAATGCTAATTCGAAAAACGAAAATTCGCCTAAAAAAAAATTATTTCTTATAAAATTCTTTAAAATGAAAATTTTAATTAATTATTTTTATCGGATAATTATGAGCCCGATTGAATTGTCAGAAATTTGCAAAAAAAAACAAAAAATCAACGACATTTTAGATTTGCAGAAAATATATTTCAAATTTAAAATCTTCTGCAATTCAATTGGGTATTTAAAAAAAAATTTAATTTAAAAATCTGTAAAACTTAATTTGCATTTGCTTTGGGAAAAAAGTAAAAATTTTTTTGAAACTAATAGTTACTTTAATTTATTTATAAAAAATTCCAGAAAATTAAAGAAATATCCTGATATTTCCCTGATTTCCCTGACCGTTAGAAACGCCGAGTCATTAAATTAAAATTTGATGACATTGTAAGGATTGACAATATTAAAATATTGTTTTTCTATAAAATCTTGCGTCAAAAATCACCTGAGCATAATTTCCAGAACCAATGGAAGTTGTACTATCGAATTTAATCAAAAATTCCTTCCAATTTGGTCCATATGTCGCTTCCAATAAGTGTCTTGTATAAATCCAAAAATATGAGGTAGTGTATTTTTCAAGTTTTGCGAATTTCAAACACAATTCCTTGGAGAAAATGTCTCTTTGAATTGATAGCCATTGTCCGAATTTAATAAAAGTTGGTTCTAAAATTTCAATTACTAAAATATAAAAAGTTAAAAATTTAATGTTACACTAAAAAAGAGTTAATTTAATATAAATTTTTTGCATTATTGTTTAAATTTAAATTAATTATACCTTTTAAAAAAACAGAAGGAAATACTTTACTAATTCCAAGAACTCGAGTAATGAAATACAATGTAATTAATCCAAAAATCACAGTGATAATAAAAATAATTGTTAATGATATAAATATAAAATTTAATGCCAAATTAAAAAAGCATTGGTAATTATTATTTTTATCCTTTGAAAATTGATTTTGAGAATTTGTTATGTTTGGTAAAAGTACAATAGTTCGAAAAAAAGATGTTCTCGACAGTTCAGTAAAATTTTGTTTAAAACATTCACCAGACCTTTTGACACAGTGTTTATTTTTAAAAAATGTTATTCCCAATTTTAAAAAAATATTCGAAGTCAGTCTATTAAGAAAAAATTGTTTCATTACCAGAATTTGTTTGTTAAAAAAAAAAAAAAATTTTTTTTTGGTTATTTCATTTTGAAAGAGTGTGAAGTATGTAAATAACTACTTCATAGATAAATAATTTTAAAACTCGAATATTTTTTTTCTTTATTTTCAGAACAAAAACAAGAATTTATATTTACATTTTTTTTTTATTTTAAACTAACAATAAAGTAAAAAGTGATTTTTAAAAAAAATATATATATAATGTTGGTAAATTAATAATATAATTGCTTGAATTATTTTTAACAGTTTTTGAAGAATTAATTTATGGAAATATTTGGGTTTCCTGTTCAATTTCAAGTGTTCTTGTAATATTCATCTCTCCTTTTTGACAAAACTTATCAACGCATAGATGAAAGAACCGTAAAGTAAGAGACTGATGTTTTGAGAAGCTTAAAATTAATAAATTTTTAATTAAATACTGCTTAAAACGACGTCGGTGATGTTCACAAAGTTTATGATCAACCGAGGGGGAATTTACTCAGGTAGTCAAGTGTTCACTCTTCCTGTAATACTTGTGTTATAACGTGTAATACCGTGTAATAATGCGTTATTACAGTGCTGTAATAACGCAAAAAACTCTGTAATATCTCTGTAATAATTTGTAATACTCTGTAATAACGTGTAATACTTAGTAATAAGGGTAATATGAGGTGTAATACCGGTAGTCAAGTTTACACGTTCTTAACTAGTAAATTCCCCCTCGTGATCAACGATTTAAAAAAAATGTATTTTTCACTCAAAAAATAATAACTATTTTTTCGCCTACAAATTTTTTTTCCAAAAATTATATTGATCAAGAAACGTTGCAAAAATTTTTTTAAATCAAAAATAATAATAATAATAATAATAATTTACATAGAAAAATAGTTATTCTTCTCAATCGTTGATCATAAACGTTGTGAACTTCACTGACGTATAAAACGTACATATAGAAATTTACAAAATTTTTAACAATTCTTACTGTTGCAAACGCAATCATATCCATGGTACAAAATTTTCCAACAGTAAGAGTTGAAGGTATTTGACCACGAAGTATTATTGGCACAAGTAATTTTTGTCCATAAAGTGGCAAATTATACCATTCTCCATTATATCTATTTACATTTTTAAAATTATTTACTGTTTTTTTGGAAAATGAAAATATAAAAAATTACCGATATAGAAATCTACCTTACCGACTGATGGTAAAACAGGTTTTTGAAAAATGACAATATAAAAAATTTTCGGCATAAAAACCTACCTTAGTGTAGATTTCTGTGACAGTAACTTTTTATGTTTTCATTTTTCAAAAACTATTTTACCATCAGTCGGTAAGGTAGATTCCTATGTCGTCAATTTTAATATTTTCATTTCAAAGAAAATTTCTTTACCATCAGTCGGTAAGGTAAATTTCTGTGTCGGTAATTTTTTATATTCTCATTTTCCAGAAAAAAATTCTTTACTATCAGTCGGTAAGGTAGATTTCTAGGTCGGTAACTATTTATACTTCCATTTCAAAGAAAATTTCTTTACCATCAGTCGGTAAGGTAAATTTCTGAGTCGGTAATTTTTTATATTCTCATTTTCCAGGAAAAAATTCTTTACCATCAGTCGGTAAGGTAGATTCCTATGTCGTCAATTTTAATATTTTCATTTCAAAGGAAATTTCTTTACTATCAGTCAATAAGGTAAATTTCTGTGTCGGTAATTTTTTATATTCTCATTTTCCAGAAAAAAATTCTTTACTATCAGTCGGTAAGGTAGATTTCTAGGTCGGTAACTATTTATACTTTCATTTCAAAGAAAATTTCTTTACCATCAGTCGGTAAGGTAAATTTCTGAGTCGGTAATTTTTTATATTCTTATTTTCCAGGAAAAAATTCTCTACTATCAGTCGGTAAGGTAGATTTCTAGGTCGGTAAATTTTAATATTTTCATTTCAAAGGAAATTTCTTTACCATCAGTCGGTAAGGTAAATTTCTGAGTCGGTAATTTTTTTATTCTCATTTTCCATGGAAAAATTCTTTATCATCAGTCGGTAAGGTAGATTTCTAGGTTGGTAACTTTTTATATTTTTATTTTTCAAAATTTTTTACCATCTTGTTAATTTTTTAACCATCTACAGTGAAACCCACGTAGGGTAACTGCACCAGTGCTACTATGGGAAATTTTCTCGAAAAGCTGGCCAAAATTCAAATTTTTGGATAGACATAAAAAAATTTTTTTTTGTAGGATATTGTTTATTTATATGTCTAAGTAATAGAAACTGGGCTTTATTTTGTCATTGCAATTGTTTTTGTTTTTATATTAGCGGTCAAAGTTGCGAGATGGTTTAATGCTCAATCGTGTTTACAAAAGTGACTTCAAACAGTAAATTGTAAAGTGAGTTTTATTAATTAAGAATGTGAAATATAATTAAAATAACGATGGAAAATAATCACACGAGTAAGTATTGTATGTTACATATGATTAATGTTAAAGTTTGTTGTGGAATAAATAAATAACCATATTATTTGTAAATTAACCTAAAAGTAAAGTAATTCATGTTTGAATAGACATATAAAATTTTGGGTGCTTCTGATTGCATTAAATCTTTTAGAAATATTTAATCTATTTTATTATGAATCCACTGTTCTTTTGCCGTTTTGCGATTTTTTGCGATTTATGAAATATTTTAATTTTTCTAGACACTATCTCAGTTGAAAATTCCTGTTTGTTTGAATCGTGGTTGAAAGCGACAACGAAGGAACGGAAAAACGAAAATGTTTTGGAATGCTTTCTACACAATCTTTCTAAAGATACAACAGATGAAGAATTATTATCCAATTTAAAAACAAAAGTCTATTTTGTTTGTCGAGATTTAGAAAGACGTTGGCAAAAGTGCCATAGGAAAGTCGATGTTCTTCGAAATAAACATGAGGTCTATCTTTCAAATACGACAACAATAAAACTGATAGATTCAGGAACAAAAACCTCTACATCGAAAATTGAAACAGAATTAGCTGCAGAACCATCAACATCTGCGCGAAGTCGTAAAAGAAAATTATTTGAAGAAAGCTCGAAACGAACGAAGCGAAGGAGAGCTAGTGAGATTTCAAATTCAGCGATGGATGATACTAATCTGTTGATTCGTGCTGCATGTACTTCTGCATATAAAAACTCAAATTCAACCTTATCACGAGCATTAAAAACGACATTAGAAAGCCCAGAAAATATTTTAAAGCTAAGCTCTGTGGAAACAAAGAGTATAAATCCATTAACATCAGATGAAGCTTTAGCTTTCTTACTCGAAAACAATTTTAGTAAAGCGCAATATTGCAATATTCTAAGCGAAAATAAACTTCGAAATTGTAATATATATCCACCTTACAAATCTTTGACTGCTGTTAAATCTAAATGCAGACCTGACGGTATAGAAGCATCAGAAAACATTGCAAAAGTACCTTTGGAACAACTTCTACAGCATACGGCTTCAAGAATTATTGCATTGCAAATGGAAGTTATAATGGCTTTTCTAGATAAAACTTCATCAAATTCAATAGATGTTGAACTACTTGTCAGTTATGGATTCGATAGCAGCACTGGTCAGTCGAATTTTAAACAGAAGTATATTGAAGAAAACAACAATTGTTCAGATTCATCTCTTTTAGCATCAACATTGATTCCTCTCCAATTGATTAATTCAAATAAACATATCATATGGCAAAATCGAACTCCACAATCGATTCGATTTTGTCGACCAATAAAGCTTGAATTTGTTAAAGAGACTAAGGAGACTGTTTTAAAAGAACGTGCTGAAATAGACGAGCAGATTAAAAAATTAAGAATATTTCAATTTCCAATTGACGATGAAAAATACATAAATGTGCATTTTAAATTGTTTTTGACAATAATCGATGGCAAAGTTCTTAATATCTTAACGGAGACTCCTTCATATCAAACCTGTCCTATATGTGGTGCTACACCAAATGATTTTCTTGCAGTACATGATTTTACTTCAGAAAAGTTTAAGCCTAAAGAAGGTCATTTAAGATATGGAATAAGTCCGCTTCATTGTTTATTAAGATGTTTTGAATTTCTTCTCCATCTTGGGTACAAAATGAAGGTAAAAAAGTGGCAAATAAGAAGTGAAAAAGATAAGAAAATTGTAGAAAAAAGTAAAGAAAGAATACAAAAAGAATTTTTGGAGAAATTAGGTCTGCGAGTCGACAAACCAAAAACTGGGGGATTTGGCAGCAGTAATGACGGTAACACTGCAAGACGAGCGTTTGATAATTATGAAGTATTTTCAGAAATACTTCGTGTAGATAAAGATTTAGTTTTTCGATTCAAAGTCACTTTGATAACGTTATCCTGCCAACTACCTGTCGACTCAGAAAAATTTCAAAAATATTGTTTCGATACAGGATTGCAGTATATGAAAAAATACCCTTGGCTACCGATGACACCCACAGTACACAAGATCATCGTACACTCACGACAAATTATGGAAAATTCGATTTTACCCCTGGGATTTTTCGGAGAAGATGCAGCAGAATCAAGACACAAAGTATATAAGTCGGACAGAATAAATCACTCTAGGAAAAACAACCGGAAAAATAATTTGACCGATGTTTTTCATCGCGCTATGGATAGCTCTGATCCTTTTATTTCATCAATTTATTTAACAAAGCGTATTAAACAGCATAAGAAAGCGAACCTTCCACACGAAGTTATTCAAATGCTATCCTGTAACGATTTATTTAACGAAGATGACTATGACAATGATAAACAGGATTGTGATGATGATGATGATGATAATGATGAAAATGATAATGATAATGATGATGATAATGATGATGATGATGATGATGATGATGATGATAACGACGATGACGATGAAGATACCGATGAAGATGATCAGGGCAGCTTTACTCATGAATAAAATGTGGTACAAAACTATTTTCTAATAATGTTGTGCACTTCAGTCATTAGTTATATGTACTTAATAAATTGTGAAAAGACTTTTTTCCACCATTTTTCATACATTTACCAACTATTCAATATAAACGATTTAAAAAGTACCATACATAATCTTCAATAAATTTGTTTATTATTTTCTTCTCTTTACGTCTTTAATTACCAACTCTAGAAATCCTAAAAAAATAGATTCATTGAAATAGAACATTTTTAACAAAAAAAACCGACATATTGGATCTGTCATTTTCAATTTTTAAAAACTAACTTCAGATTCGTAATCAGCGACCCTGAAGACCCCCGAGTAACGAATTGGAGGCGATTTCCGTCACTTTTTAAAAAAGTTGTCTGACATTTTAGATCCGCCATTTTGAATTTTTAAAAACTAACTTCAGATTCGTAATAAGCGACCCTGAAAACCCCCGAGTAACGAATTGGAGGCGATTTCCGTCACTTTTTAAAAAAGTCGTCTGCCATTTTAGATCCGCCATTTTGAATTTTTAAAAACTAACTTCAGATTCGTAATCAGCGACCCTGAAAACCCCCGAGTAACGAATTGGAGGCGATTTCCGTCACTTTTTAAAAAAGTTGTCTGCCATTTTAGATCCGCCATTTTGAATTTTTAAAAACTAACTTCAGATTCGTAATCAGCGACCCTGAAAACCCCCGAGTAACAAGTTTCAGGCAATTTGGAACGTAATTTGAATTTTGGCCAGCTTTTCTGGATAATTCCCCATAGTGGCAGTGGTGGATCAGTTAAGCCCCTTAACTTTCTTATTTTGACTTTGAAGTTCTGTATAGGTTGCTTTTAGACAAATTCGAGGTTATTCCTAATAGTATTATGGACTAGATAGTTCCAATAGACATTTCCTTCCAGGTTAGACTTGATTTTGACACCTACACTGTAAAAAGTCCAAACAGAATTTTCCCAAAGATAGGAATTTTACTTTTAAGAATCCATGGCACAAATACTATATTAAATGCAGAAATAATACAGGGTCCAAAATGGAAAATACAATATTTGGTAATTTTACTATTTCGAATATTGGGATTTTCCATTCCTCGGCGAAATTCCTACTTTTAAAGTGGGTAATAATGTTACCCACTTTCAAAAGGACGAAATGACTGAAGGCTGTGAAACTGCACTAGATGGGAAAATTACCATTGGCGAACGTAACCTTACTAAAGCAAAAATGACAATTCCACACTGTAGTATTTTTCCTGTTTTTAATGTAGTATAATCACAAGTGTTGGTAATATTCCCGTTTCTTTAGAAAAATACATTAGCGTGTAAAATTACCATTTTTTAAAAGTAATATTAACAATTTTTGGAAAATTCCCAAATTTTGAAATTCATAATATACGCACACATTTACGATTTATGCGCCGTGTGCAATCGTTAATGCCTGGCAGCAGTCGGCATTCATCGACAATTGTCTTTTTGATTGTAAAGATGACGTAAAAATGGTAAAATTTTACGACACGAGTTATTTTATCCTTACATAGGACAATTCATAAAAGTTTTTGTTCATAATTTAAATTAAACTTGAATATGAAAAACAAAAATGTTAATGTTTCTTGTGCAAAAATATAGGAATAAAATATAGAGTCTAATTGTGTTTATAATTATTTTTTCTTTATTTTATAAAATTCTTTAGCGAATATTAATAACTTAAAAGTAAATACCTTCATCGTAATCGCATAAAAAGTATAAATTATTCCCATATTTTTTTCTAAACATAAAAATTTAATATTTTATAAAATTTCGGAAAAGTACTGATGTCTGTATATTTACTTTCTCCTGCGTTTAAAATACCAGAAAGTGTAACTGTACAGTTCGTGGCAATTTTCCCATCTCGTCTGGAAAATTACATAACCTAAAAATTTTATTCCCATCGACAGTAAAGGTGCCGTTCTGATAGTGGGTAATAATCTTTCCCACTTTCAAAGTGGTAAAATTCCATTAAGTCTTTTTACAGTGTACGTTTACTTTAATGCTCCATCAAAGATAATTTGTCAATGATCCTATTCTGGATCACTGTTTGCACCAGTCATGGTTATAGATTGCTCCAGTGGTGGATCACTTAAAAAATCATACTAAAAAACATTGCATTTCAAAATTACGAGACTGAGACGTTTTGCAACTTTTATAAGGCTTTACGGACAGATTTTCAAATTCACTTTCCTATCATAAAATTTTTAATTAAACAAAATTTAATTTTATGTTAATAATGTGGAGCGTCCACAATGCGTTAACAGGCGAAAAGTAGGACTGATCCACCACTAGATTTTGTTACTTTTTTGGTTCCAGTCGTGGATCACCCCAAAACAATGGACACGCGCTACTTACAGACGTAAATATTGTTTTCAGGGCTCTATGGGGATGAAACGAAATGCCTCCTATTGTGAAAAGAATTAAAAATTGTCCTAAAATGGCTCCAAAGCTTTCTATTCCAAAATATACTCTTAACTTACATGCTAAGGAAAACTCTTGTTTTCTGTCACCACTTTAGTAATTGTTGTCTTGCTTTCTTCGCGATGAATTTAAAAATTTTTTTAAATTGTAATATTGATCTGTATAACTTTCTTAACAATTACCGACGCACTTGCGGTTCATTTACTTACAAACGTGTAAACACAAATGACCATTTTTCTCGCAGTTGATCCACCACTGGTGCAGTTACCCTATATCGGATTTCAAGGGACCAGGAGGGTTTTGTATCAGGAGAAAAATATACTTACGTTCCTCGTGACACTAATAAGCTACTATCTAATAAATTTTGTGCTGGCAATGTTAAACAAAAAAGATGAATCAAACAAGCACTAGCAAATATTCCGTATTTAATCGCTAGAGTAAAAGTACCAATTGAATTTAAAGTCTGGAACAAAGAAAATGCTAATTATGTAATGCAAAAGTTATATAAAGAAATATTTATGGTCGATTAAATATAAAATGGCATTTTTCTATCCTTCTCATGAATAAAAAGTACACCGTGCGATTACAAAGAGAAGTAAGAATAATTTTTACTTGAATTAGTAAAGAACTGATGGCTATAACATTTAATCCCACTGACCAAAATAATAATGGCGAAAAACAGGAGTTAAGTGTCTTTGAATATCTGAAATATAATCTTTAATCATTATTAAATCCTTTTAATAATTTTATTATTTTTTCGCAACTTACTGAAGCGCATGATTGTGCCATTTAATAGAAGATCTCAACTGTTCATAACTCATTGAATCTTTTATGATTATGTACTTTTGCTCCTTGTTTGCGTCCTTTATTATATTTTTTAAATGATGACTAAATGAAAATTAAAAGATTATGTTTTGTATAACGAATTTGAATTTTTTTTTATCATTAAAATAAATCGATATTTTGAAACTGCGTATGATCGAAAATAAAAATCAAGCTATGGCACGGCGTTCCTTAACCAGCATTAAATAAAAAATGAATGGACCTCCGATTTTTTTTCGGGGTTTTGAAGTAGAGGTAAAAATATTACTTTTTAGCCCAAAACGAAAATCTTCGGTCGAGCTTAGAATTTTTTTTCAATTTTAATTTTTTATACAGGTTTACAATGCATTTTTGGAATTATTTATGCGTTATCCAGCATATATATAGTATATACATATATGTATTTATGTATATATCTATATATATGTATATTATGTATATGTATATATATACATATATTATATCTACACTCACACACGCACACATACGCATATACACGCGCAAGCAGAATGTATCTTATACAAAATAAAACACAACAATTTTAAATTTAATTTGCAGAAGCAAAAATAAAAATGAATTTTTTTAATACTCAATAGAAATTCATAAAGTTTTACATAATTTTTTTTAACTCAACGAATGATAAATATAAGATCAACAATAATAATACATATTTGAAGAACAATATAGTAAGTTGCAATTTAAACATTACTTATAGGGTAAAATTAAATGTTACAATTTAAATATGATAAGAATTATATTCACCAACTGCCCGCATCAATTTTGCACCATAATCTGGGTTTTGTTCATAAACTTTATACTTCAGCCAAGTAACATTAAAGTCGTGGTGTACGGACTCCATAGCCTGCTCCCCGTAGAAGCCTAAGCCACATTGATATTTCTCACAAAAATCTGGTACATGGAAAAATACTGCATGAACCTTTGGTGTTACTGAAGTTTCTAATTTTAAATAACTTGATTTGAAATCTTCAATGTAATTTTTATAATTGTCATCCAACGTAATACCAAAACAGGCTTCTATGTGTATGTGTGCGTGTGTGTGTGTAGATATAATATATATATATATGTATATATATATATATATATACATATACATAATATACATATATATAGATATACACATAAATACATATATGTATATACTATATATATGCTGGATAACGCATAAATAATTCCAAAAATGCATTGTAAACCTGTATAAAAAATTAAAATTGAAAAAAAACTCTAAGCTCGACCGAAGATTTTCGTTTTGGACTAAAAAGTAATATTTTTACCTCTACTTCAAAACCCCGAAAAAAAATCGGAGGTCCATTCATTTTTTATTTAATGCTGGTTAAGGAACGCCATGATGGGAGAACCAGGCAAACGCACGAACGGTGGAGAAAGGCCTCGTTTTCCTTGCCACCGAGATGCGCGTCGCCTACTCAAAACGAATTTACTTCCGCGCACTGCACTGTTTTATTTACAAACCAACAGTGCTTTCCAAATTTAGATAAATAATTCCTAAACATTTATAAAAATTATTTAGTAATACCATATAAGTTTAATAGAAACTAAAACTTTTGGGGAGTCGAGGTTTTTTTAAGAATTCGAAATTTAATTAGTACTAAAAATTAAAGTATGCATATGTAAATTAACTTCTTAACCTGACAATTGCAAACAAGCCGCAAACATGTTGTGTTGTAACTGCAAACATTGATTCGCAAGCAAACATTACTGTCAAATTACATAAGGAAGTAATAGAACCATGAACCAACAGCCAAGATAAATATTTATTTTCATCTAATGGAAATTTAGCTGCATACACCAATAACCTCGGACGAGTCTCATTCAGTGGAAGGAAATGGTCAAAAACAATTGGCGCCATTGACATTGATATGAAAATTAATACTGAACTATACATATTTACTGAAAAAAATATTAATTAGGAATGTTACATTTTATTAAAGATAAAAAAAATTAAGTTAAATATGAGCATATTCTCTAGAAATTTAAAAAATGTACACTCTAAATCTGAATCAGTGAAAATTTCACTGATTTCAATTCAGTGGACGAGTTTTCTTTAATTCATCAGTAAAATTTCACTGAAAATCAATCAAAACCACTGATTGTCAATGAAATTCCACTGATTCATCAAAGAAAACTCGTCAACTGAATTGAAATCAGTGATACATTCACTGATTCAGATTTATAGTGTATTCCATTGTAATTTCTGAAATCAGATACTCCTTAAATTTTGCCACATAAGCTTTTAAATATATATAGTTTAAAATTTAAAAGAAACTTGCCTAAAGTTCTAGAGCCTAGCGCACTTATTAAATTAAAATCTTATAACATAATGAAAATATTACTAGCATATAAAATTGTAAGACGATTTCCGTGTTTTGCAGTTTTTAGCAAAATTGTACGTTCTATTTTAGACGTCCAAAAATTCCAATCATTCTCCATATGTTTAACGAGAATACGCAGCTATGATGTAAGAGTTAATTTTGTGAGCATACACATAACATATATAAATATGAGAGATTCTTTTTCAATCGCCCCAGCCCAAAAAGTCAATGTTCTGGGATTGGCTTCATACTTTGGTAAATTGTTCTCCTATATGATAGTAATAAATCCCTAAAATATAAACTAATTAAAAAAATATTTGTAGAAAGTAGAGGGGGTTGAAGTTTTGACGTTAAGGGTAACATTGTCATTTTCAAATCCGTATAACTATGACAAAAGTTAATGGATTTTAATTTATCTATAATGAATTTTATTGCATTTTTCACGTACTTTTCAAAAATGTGTACGAAATTTAAAAAAAAAAATTTTTAACCCCTTTTTTTTCAAAATCAACCCTTATTTTTCGATTTTCACCCCTTCGGGTATTTTTTTTTTTTTTTTTTTTATTTTCATTGGAAAGCTGAGGTTTTTTCCCATGAGCTATGTAAATATGAAAATGGGACAACAATAATTTTGTGAGTAACAGAATATTAAAGTAGGCGGTGCCGATAAGGGGTGTACCTGGAGATCATCTTTGAGGATTTAGATAGGCACCGCCTAATTTAATATTATGTTTCTCACAAAATTATTGTTGTCCCATTTTCATATTTACATAGCTCATGGGAAAAAACCTCAGCTTTCCAATGAAAATAAAAAAAAAAAAAAAAAAAATTCCCGAAGGGGTGAAAATCGAAAAATAAGGGTTGATTTTGAAAAAAAGGGGGTCAAAAATTTTTTTTTTTAAATTTTGTATACATTTTTGGAAAGTACGTGAAAAATGCAATAAAATTCACTATAGATAAATTAAAATCCATTAACTTTTGTCAAAGTTATACAGATTTGAAAATTACAATGTTACCCTTAACGGCACCCTTATCGGCACCGCCTACTTTAATATTCTGTTACTCACAAAATTATTGTTGTCCCATTTTCATATTTACATAGCTCATGGGAAAAAACCTCAGCTTTCCAATGAAAATAAAAAAAAAAAAAAAAAAATACCCGAAGGGGTGAAAATCGAAAAATAAGGGTTGATTTTGAAAAAAAAGGGGTTAAAATTTTTTTTTTTTAAATTTCGTATACATTTTTGAAAAGTACGTGAAAAATGCAATAAAATTCATTATAGATAAATTAAAATCCATTAACTTTTGTCATAGTTATACGGATTTGAAAATGACAATGTTACCCTTAACGTCAAAACTTCAACCCCCTCTACTTTCTACAAATATTTTTTTAATGAGTTTATATTTTAGGGATTTATTACTATCATATAGGAGAACAATTTACCAAAGTATGAAGCCAATCCCAGAACATTGACTTTTTGGGCTGGGGCGATTGAAAAAGAATCTCTCATATACAAAAAATTAAGAAACTTTGTGGAAAATGAATTAAATACTTTTATACCTTGCCTTGTTTGATTGTAAAAATTGCAAATTGAAAATAGCATAAAAGAACCAGAAGAATCGGTGGAAGACACTCGAAAGTTGCGTCAGAATTACCAACAACGGAAAAGAGAAAATTAAACTAAATGCGTGGAATATTATAGTTGTTGCTAGTATTAAAACTTTTTTCTTATATTATATCAGAACTAACAATTTACCTAAAACATTTAATAAAATTATAACAATTATACGAGTCAAATTATACTGCAAAAATGTCAATATAGTCTTTTAGTTTTTCAGATTCAATGAAACTTACCCAGGCGAGAAAAACCAATGCTGACAATGGATTGAAGCTTGATTTTAGATTAAATGCCCAACGTGGGTAACCCAAACTGAAAGCAGCCTTTATACCACTGTCGATCAAAATTGGTTCAAGATTGGTTACCAATGCTTGTCTCATGCTGGATTCAAGACTAGTTGAATCCTCATGAGCAAAGCCTAGAGTCCAGTCTAGATTCAATCTTGAATCAACTTTCGACTTAATATTCGCAGCTTAATTCAATATTAATTATTATGTTGTCTAAAATACAATTGTATTGAGTAATTATTTATATACGTTCAATACAAATTAAATAATACATTGTTTACAATTTTTGTTAATTACAATTTAATATATTTTATAATTATTAATTACTATTATTTAAAATAATATATTGCTATTTATTTCAATGAAAGTATTTTTTGTTTTTTTATAAATAAATATTTCATAAATATTATATTTGTAAATACAATAAAAATCATAATAATTATATTCAACACATTTTTGAAAATAATTTCTTATTTTGATTAATTTTGTTTTTTTAAGATTATTTATATTATAATAATTTATCATCTTTATTATGTATTATTATATATTATAATATTGTAATAATTAATTAATTAATTAAATTTAATACATAATAAAGATGATAAATCTTTAATATAACGTAAAAAACAATATTTGCTATAATATTGTATTTTCAAAAATACAAATAATTCAAAATACACACTTGACCGAGCCTGAATCAAAATTCGGCAAGATTCATTCAGTCTTGGGCGCCAATGCTCAACCCAGCCTCAAACGTCAGGTTTAGATCGGTGTTACATTCTAGACTAGAGCAGCCTTACTTCCGCTTTCTCACCAAGGCTCAATCAATATTGACCAATGCTCAGGCAATCTTTATAAAGCTTCAACCCATCATCACTTCGCGCCTGGGTATTATGATAAAGAATTAAAAATTTTATGATGGAACGCATAAAAATGCAACGTGTCATTTGTCGGAATAGTCATTTAACAATAAGGGGCGGAAAAATGTCGGTGGTACTGAATGGACGCTAGCGTCTCCGTCCACCTATTTCATCTCACTTTAGTGTTATTTAAAAATTATGTGTTCTATTTAATTTAATTAAGATGAAGAATTAACTTCATCCAATTTCTAAAGTATTATTTTGTGTTAATTGTTAAACTGATAAAATAACAAACTTAGCTCCTATTTACCGCGAGGCTATATGACATCCTAACCTCACAATCATTACTACTGAGTATAAATTAAACTATACGCATCAATTTGAAGAGGATTCTATTATACTGATAATTATTGAAGAAGAAAATCTAAGATTTCTATACTATCGGGGAAGTGATTTATTTTCAACAAAATCATAGACAAAAAGGATTACCTCTCTACAAAACACGAGGCAACATAACCCCATAACGTCTATCTACAACAACTTACATTACTTGAGCCTTTACTGGATATCTTCTTCTTCTTCTTCCCTCTTAAATGACTTTAGGCTTGGCCAACTGTCAGAACAAAAACTTACAATTAGAGTTAAGAAGTTTCAGATATATAAATGCACTCGTCGCAGCTGCAACTTTAAGCTCCATCCAGTGTGTGTCAGAGTCCGCCAAGCAAGTTGTTTGAATTAAGCTTAAGTGAACATTTGAATTGCTCCTTATTGGATGATGTTGAATTGAGTTATTGCCATTAAGGATGGAAATTAAGGGTCAGGAAAATTGGGCCATATCTAGTCCCGCACTCGCCTCCGCGTTCCATCGAAATTGTACTCGAGCCTAAGCAAATTTCATGCAGCGAGGAGTCTGTACGGGAGTCAGACAAATTGCTTTGCGTAGCACAAAAACCCTCCCACCTCTCTGACAATTTCATTGTCCGGAGCAGAAATGAAAGATTCAATTGAAGCCACACTGGGTTCCATACCGGGAAATTTAGTTGCTAAAAAACTATAAAATCTATCTCTAACCGGAGTTAAAATTGGGCATACGTTCAACAAGTGTTCCATGGTCCTCCTCTCCTCACCACAAGCGCACACGGCAGCCACATCCCAGTGGATCCGCTGAAAATGATCCCAAGTATATGTGTGACCAGTTCTCAATCTGGTCATTGTATTTATCAAACATCGCGGAAAGTTCATACCATCAAACCAAGGTCTACTAGTTTTGAATGATACCCGAGAGAAATATCTCCGCCCCGTCTCCTCCTGTTCCCTAAAGGGCCAGGAGCGAGAGAGCCATGCTGCTCTATCCGGAGCCAAGATGATTTCCCTGAGATCACTAAACGGTGGCCCAAAGTAGATTCTACTATTTATTCTATTAATTCCCCGGCAAATTCTGTCCGTCCTTTCGTTACCAACCACTCCCTCGTGTGAGGGGACCCACATAAATTTAATATTGGCTTCAAGTAACAATTGCAGGGCAGGAAAGATAGTGTTTAAGATCTTGTACAGAATATCAAGGTTTTCTTTATAGTGGAGACAATTTCTTATTCTATAGAGTGAAGCAAGAGAATCCGTGATCACCAGGGCCCTGTCAAGTCTTCTCTTCTGGGCGTATATAATCGCCATATAGATAGCATAAAGCTCTGCTGTTAATATCATCACTCCCTGCTGCAGAGGAGCTCTTGAGGAGTAGCGAGTCTGCTCGTGAAAAAATGCCGAAGAGGCCAAACCCGACTGTGGGTTCAACGTGGCATTCGTGTACAGGAGATGATATCCCTGAGCTTTAGCACGGATAATCTCGCGAAAGCATTCCTCCGGCGAAGGATGATTAGCTATAATGTTACACGAATCAACGTCACAATCAGGAGAAACAATCAATGAAGTCCATCTCCAATCAAAATATGCAGGTCTCGAAGTTCTGCCGCAAATCTGAATTACAGGGACGATTCGTTGATAAGTATTAAGTAAGGTTAATCTGCTCTTGTTCAAATGGAAAGTTCTCAAATGTGATTTCTCATCCAACATTCTCAATTTGGGGAGTAGGGGGTTATCCCTCCATTTAAAGTTACGCGCGAGAAACTGGATCGACAAATAAATTCTACGGAAAGAGAGAGGGGGTTCATCCGCCTCCGACAGCAAAACTGGAGTCGTAGCGGATCTCATACATCCCCTAGCTATTCTCAAGGAAGCAAACTGAACACGATCCAGCATCTTTAATGTCGTGATTGCTGCGTCTGAATAAAGGGGAACCCCAATATAAGATTGCACGTATGAGGTTGCGATAGACCATAAGGGCGAGGGTAGGGGATGTTCCTCAGGTAGGTCTAGAAACGATTTTCAGTATGCCCATGGCTTTAGTGGCTTTTTCTGCTTGGCTTTTAATATGTGGGTTCCAGAGAAGTTTTCTGTCCAAGATGATGCCAAGATGTTTCATGGTGTTCTCACACCTAATTCGTGTCTCACCCATAGTGACTCTAATCTCCTCAAAAGTTTTCCTAGATCGAGAGAAAACACAACAAGTTGTTTTAGCGGGGGCCACATCCATGCCCAAACCTTTCAACCACTCAGTCAGCCCTTCCAGGGCAGAGGATATCTCATCAGAAATGGTATCGAGATCCCTAAATCTTATATAGAGCAACAAGTCATCCGCATACATAGCAAATTTCATCGCGGGTGGTAACACACGACCTATATCACGAAGGTATAGATTAAAGAGAAGAGGCGACAGCACACCACCCTGTTGGACACCAACTCCACACATTCTCGAGCCGGAGCCATCAACATTGAATGTGATGTGCCTCTTTGAAGTAATGAAAGTTACAAAGTTAATAATGCAGGGGTGAAAACTCAGGTCTATTAATTGTTTATTCAGACTGTCAGGTCGTACGTTATTAAACACACCTTTGATATCAACAGAAAGGGCAATAATGTGATAACCATCCGCGAATCCGTTCACAATGTCAGTCACGAATGCCGCCATACAATCGATCGCTGACCTAAGTTTACGGAATCCATATTTAGAGATAGGAACTTTCTGCTAAAGCATAAAAGCATAATTTTGCTCGAAATTTTTTAAATGTCATAAAACGTCTAAAAACCTTATAAAACATGTTTTATAATAGAAATTTGATTAAATTAAATCAGCATAAAAAAGCATAATTTAATCATTTAAGCAGCACAATTTTCATGTGATAATTGTGCCGCCGAATTGACGACTTTCAGCCGATATTCAGCACAATTTCATCATAATTTCAGCACAATTCGAAGATTAAATGGTTATGATGGCAAAAAGTCCAGTAGAGGGGGAATTGAAGCGATGACTTTGGTTTGAACTGGCTTTATATTTATATTAAAATGGCGACCAGCAGGGCGCTACGATCTACACGAAACTTATATTAGGGCGAAGTCCCATGTCAGCGATTTGCTTTTCGACTTGTAACTAGACCATGAGTGTGAGAGAGATGGAGATATACGTTCGCTATGTTTGCACTTATGGCCTAGTTACAAAACGCAACGCAAAACGCTGCCATGGAACTCCAGCCTTAAGTCGATTTTGATAGGTTATCAAAATAAAAACGCGTTTTCGACTCTTTCTACACTGTCAATCCTTTGGTCAATCCTATTTTCATGGAACTTTGTAAAACAGTGAACATATGTTTGATTGGTGTAGTTTAAGTTAAAATGTTTTATTTTATTCAAAGATATTTATTTGTATTTTTATCATGAAACCAACGACTGGTAGAAATAAGGTGACTATTAATGAGCGTTATGAGGAGTATAAAAATGAGGGTATCTATATATCAAATTTAAAGGCCAAAGAGATGATGTGCAAATATTGCAATGTTCAAATTAACTGGAAAAAAAAGTCTA